AATGATAAATTTTTGCGATGATGGATATGCTAATTACTTTGATCATCACACATTATATACGTGTTTTAAAATACAACTCTGTACCCCATAAATATGTACAACTATTACATGTCAATTAAAATAATAAACCAAGAATACATCAAGGTAAGATCCTCCACCAGCAAAAAGATTACAAATGGCTGAAGGCTTGGATGAACATTAGCATTTTTTAGCAATATTTTTTAACTAAAAAAAAGATGTCGTGTCATCAGTTTTCCTCCTCTAGGTAAGTGGCAATTCCACTCTCCGAGATCTCATTATTGACTCCTCTCTCACATGCTACATTCAATCTTGCAGCAAATACTGTTGGCTCTACCTTCAAAATATATCGAGTCTATTTCTCAGTACTTCCACCATTATCACCCTAGTGCAAGCCCTTGTGCTCACTTAGAAAATTGCATAATTTCATAACTTTGTTTTCCATTTTCACAGTTGGCTCTCTACAGGATTTTATTTTTAACACAGCAGCTTAAGCTATATTAATTAAATCACGTCACTCTAATAAAAAGTCTCCAAGGTTTTTCATTCTCCTCAGAATAAAATCCAAAATTCATATCAGGTTTCTAATGATCTGAATTCCTGCTATCTCTTTGAAATCTCACAACCCTCTGCTGCCCCTAGCTTATTCTATTAATTTCTTACACTGATCTAATATTTATCACCATCTAATATTTATCATCACATTATTTATCATATACATGATAAATAAATATACATATCATATATTTGTTGTGTGTCTCACATCCACCAGAATGTAAGCTACATTAATGCAAGGACTAATTTTGTTCAGTGTTGTATTCCCAGTGCCTAGACGAGTGGCTGGCACAGAGCAGGTGCTCAAAAGATGTTTGCAGTTGATTGACAGTACTAAAGAACTAGCACAGACTTTGTAAGGATACAATAGACAGAAAAATAGATGGCAGATGAAGAACACTCACCAGAAAACTAACGCCCCAAAATATTTGAAAATTATGATGAAACGTTTCACAATGACCTTAACACCTTAATGAAAGATTCATCTCTATATAATAAGAGTACACATTAGAAATACAAAAGATAGGATGGAATAAAAAAGAATAAAATGTGAGCTGGCAGAACTTGGGGAAAAAATTTAAAATAATCATAAAAATGGAAATAAAATTGGGATAACAGAGTATACAGTGCATGAATCACAATAAGGGAAATTGAGAACAGGAATAATAAAGAAAAAATGACATGAAGATAGGTGATGCAACATGCACATAACTGGTGTTCCTAAAGAAAAAACCTTTTTTTCTATTTTTATAGGTGAAAGCACTGAGAAAGCTTGCTCATATGAAAAAATAGTCAATAACAGGCTTTAGAAATTTCAATCCCCTCAACTCTTACAATTTGGGCAAAAAATCAGAGTGATCTCTCATCAAAATTTATTTTTAATAAATCTATCAGCTGACAATTCACTTCAGTTCTCTATCAATTTCATTGAAGGCATATAATTAGAAACCATCTCACTTGCAAAAGGAGTTACTCAAGCCTCGATATCAACAAATGTTTCAAATTGTCCCTTTGTTTGGAGACTTTAAAAGATTTTACACCCCGGGACAATTAAACACAGTAGGTTTGGATGGCTGACAGGTATTGCCTTTCTCCCCTCCAGTGGGAGAAAGATTGTGAAATGAGAGGTGGTTAAGGGAGATCAATTTAGGTACAAATAAATATGGATGTACAGATCAGGCAATTCTCTATTAAACCCCTTCGTGTACCCCAGGAGCGTGCATACTCCAGTCTGAAGACTACTGGTTAACAATGTCAATATACTGCTAATGAGTCAAGCAAGGAAAGAACTGAAATGTACCTATATTTTAGGAAAATGAGAATCGTTGATTTGATGAATGCCGTTTTCTGTGCAGTTGTGTCAGTGGTGGGTAGAATCCACATTGGATTGAGGGAGAGGATGGAAGTGAGGATGCAGAGACAGTAATAGAAATGTTACTAGAATTGGATAAAGTGTGGAGAGGATTACAGCTGAAGTATGTGGTACCTAGGAATAATTTTTTTTTTTTTAAGACGTGAAATACAGGCTGGCCGGTAACCCAGTTGGTTAGAGCAGTGTTAGTAACACCAAGGTCAAGAGTTCAGATCCCTGCACTGGCCAGCCACCCACCCCCCCACCCCCAAATATGTGAAATATTTGAACAAAAACTGACAGAAAAGAATCAATAGACCGAGAGGCTGAAGACTCGATAGCAAAAGCACTAGATTGACAGAGTGCAAAGGATTAACAGTAGCTAGCATTTACTGATCGCTTATCTGTGCACTAAAGCTTTTTACTCATTTTATCTAATTCTCACAGTAACAAGGTAGATACTATTGCTATCCCCATTTTACTGAGGAAAGGAGACTGACCAGCTGCCAAAAAAAAGGAAAAAAAAAAAAAGAAAAAACAGGGTCATGTTTCAGAACAGAGAACTTAAAAGTTGTTAGGTTGTTGAGAACAGGAAGTTAACTAGAGAAAATAAGGATGACAGGCAGCGTTGAGGTCAGTTAAAACCAACTTTTACTAATACAGACTTGTGCATTTGGTGGTCCTTCTCCAGAAATAATCTGCAGGGGATTGGACACATCTAGGGTTGGGATTTTTCAGTAAGGTATGACATTAGAGAGGGTTATTTGGGAGACTGACAACTGTGATACTGAATTGATAGATCAATTAAATATCTAGATAGGGCTTAAGAAGCAGGTGAAAACAGACTATGACCTAAATTGAGTAGGTGGAAAGGAATAAAATTGCATGGACAGAAATGATTTTCAAATTAGTGCCTTCAGAGATAAAGTTGTTTTTGGATAGTGAAAGTATAGAGGACATGCTTGTGGTAAAGACAAAGTAACGGAACCAAAGCTCTGTGTGTAAGAAGTGATCATTGAAATTAATTAACCAGGTAGCTGGAATTTATTTCTCCCAAATTTACTCTAAGAATGTGACCTGCTTTCAAACTATGATTTAGTCACTGGACTTTTTTTTCTGTACCTTCAACTCTCCCAGATTATAAAAATTATACTTGAGGACTTTTACCTATTAACACAAACAGCACTGGAATCTACTCCTGGAAACATTCTTTTCAATAAAAAGACTGTTAGGTCATTAGAATAGGTAAAGACTTGGCAAACACTTGGGAGAAGCACACTTGAGTTATGAAATCACCAGTGATACCAAAAAGTTGCCATTAAAAAACAAAAAACAAAAATACCCAACGTTCATGCTTAAAAGACAGCCATGATGTTTAATGTAGTGCTGGGACACTAGGCCACATGGACCAACAGACCTAAATTTATTCCAACCCTGAATTTTGTTAATGTCATTTTCTTAACACATGAATTAATTGAAATAAAAATTTCTATTTGGAGTTAGAAAAAAAGTCTTCCAGTGTTATTTTAGGAGGTACTTCTATTTCATATATCAGAATCAAGACTTATCAACATCCAGCAGATTTAAACAATGAATTGATGAAAATACTTTTAAAAACATTAATAACTGGTCTCTCTCCCTCTTCCATTCTTAAACATACATCAGTCTTCACTTTCTAATTAGTTGTAATAAATAACCCCACACACTAGGTTTTGAAAATCAGTGGTCAAACTAAAATTGTTCAATAAAGCCAAACTTTTTCAAACCAACTATTTGTCAAATGTCACACATACTATCACCCACTGACAATGTTTTACACTATATTGGGTAGCACCTATTTTAAAGCAATTTGAGAAAAAAAAAAAACACAAAACTTGGGGATCTGACACATGAAAAATATTGCAAGATGGTGTCTATAAACCAGAAATCACCAGTTCTAGTTGCTACACTCCTCTATCACATTATAAATTTGAAAATGACATAGGAATAATTTTGAAAAATCCAATGCATCAAACACATACTTAAGTATCTACATGTACAACAGTTTAGCTCACATACAGGTCTGACTCAAGACTCTGAACTTGTTACTTAAAAACATTAAGATTTTGGACCCAATTATTTAAAAAATCCATTGACTAGCCCAAAATGCAGTTTGTGTTAACCCATTGTACAAATCAACCATGTAACAGCAGTCAGATGATTCTAATCTCACTCAAACAGAAGCTGCTATAAAATTAGAAAGTAATATTTCTTTTTAGTGATTAATTAAACAGCAATGGGATAAAATGAAGATAATTTGTTTTAGCTTCTTGTTCAATATGCCTATTCCTCATTTTTTAGATTATGAGGATAAAGGTGTCACAACCAATATGGGAAACTGCTTTCTCTTTATTTAGACCTTGAGGGAAAAAATTAACTTTGGTCACATATTACCTTTAAAATCCAGTTTTACATATTTCAAAATAGACAAGACTAAATGATCAGAGAAATAATTTCTTCTGTAAAAATTGGCCAAATTTTATCAAAAAATCTAACATACAATGTAATCAAAATTATATAAAGATTACTTGGGATCATAACATTCCAAATGTATGACAGTTGTAACTAACTCCATCCTAACAGGTGTGAAAGTACTTGCTCTCATATTACTTTGGTCCAAGAGTAGAGCTGAATCAGTAAGGGTAAACTAAGTACCTGATCTTTTGCCAACATTAATTTAGACTGTGACTGGCAGCAGAAATATCCATGATGAATAGTTATACAATACAAAGTATAATTAAAGTATATTTTTCACGAACTAGAGCTGAATCAGTAAGGGTAAACTAAGTACCTGATCTTTTGCCAACATTAATTTAGACTGTGACTGGCAGCAGAAATATCCATGATGAATAGTTATACAATACAAAGTATAATTAAAGTATATTTTTCATGAACATATCACAGTATCAAATAAATTTTTAAAAGAGAAAAATATGAAGGAACAAAAAAAAAAAAAGAAGAAATAGTGACCGCAAACAAAAAAAGGCATTTCCATAACTGCATTTGAAGGGGTAAAAAGGTGAGATTAGAGGGTTGATGATGCTAATATGAAAGGAAGTTGAGTATTTATTTCTTGTCTTATACAACTCTTACTCTTTACAAAAATGGTTATAGTCACGACCATAAAAGTGTAATCAATGGCATCTGAAAGCAAACACTCTTTGTAATTATTTAAAAGGGCCTTTTTAAAAATTATAATACAAAGGTCTGTGCTCTATAAGCAGTCCTCCACTGTGCATTATAACAATAAGGCTTACTTTTAATACAAAGACTAAGTGTTTGGGAGTTATGAACCACTGGATTTAACAAACATCATCTTATAATTGCTTTTTGCATCTTTTTTGTTTTTGGGATCTTCCACTTCATCAGGGTGCTCAGTAGCTTGGAGTTCTTCAGCAGATTCTTTCTCTGATTCTGAATCACTTTCAGAGTCATCTGGACTTTCAGGATCAGGTGAATCATCATCATCATCATCATCATCATCTCCAGCCACATCACCTTCTCCATCATGATCTTCTACCTAAAACACCAACAGGCTCTTTTTAAAAATAAACATCATTAGCCAGTACAAAAACTGGTAAAGCCTCTAATTTTTGTCAGTCGGAAAAACAGTTTATTAGGGGCTGGCCAGTTATCTCAATTGGTTAGAATGCAGCCTTCTAACACCAAGGTCAAGGGTTTGGTCCCCTGTACTGGCCAGTTGCCAAAAATCCCCCAAAATCCAAGACCCCACAAAACAAAACAGTCCACTTCGTAGCCATTAGATCAACAGTTTTAAGACTGTATTGTAATCAGAGGCTGCTGAGGGAACAATTGAGAAATCAGGCAACTCCATATGTTTTTATACATTGGGACTTCAGCAGGATTTTATTTTTAGAGAGGGCAATGAGACCACTCACCTGTTCCCCCTTCCCCCTAGTTTGAAAACCACTGTATTATATTTTCCTGAAAGAAATAATATTTTTTTAAAAAAATAAGGCAAATTAACCACTGATCTTTATATGGAAACCAGTTATCAATGTTTTGCATACTATACAGGTTGAGTATCCCTAATCTGAAAATCTGAAATGTTCCAAAATCCAAAACTTTTTGAGCACCCACATGACGCTCAAAGAAATGATCATGGGAGCATTTTAGATTCAGGATTTTCAGATTAGGGATGCTGAACTGGTAAGTATAATGCAAATATTCCAAAATCTGGAGATCATAACCCAAAACACTTCTGGCTCCAAGCATTAAGGATAAGGGATACTCAACCTATATTATTTTGGAATAAACAGTAGTTACAAATTAATTCATAATATAAAAAGAGATCACTTAGGGAACAACTGAGAAAGAACTCTCTCCTAATCTAGTATTTCTAACTTACATGAAATATTTTATCTAATTTGTGAGCATGTTGTTCATGCCTAGTAAAAGATGTGTCCTAATGACTAACCAGGATTTACATTTAGCTGGTATTAGAAAACACATTTTTAAAGCCTTAAAAACATCTCTTCTGATTATTTACAGAGAAGCAGTTGGGTATATAAAAATATTTTTGGTAACTGTATAAAGAAAGCTTTTACCTAGGATTCTTGATTGCTAGGGTAATCTAACATAAATAAATGATATCAAATTGAAAATTGATTATCTTCCCAATCAATGAAAATTACTACCTCACTGAAGCCAAGTCCACAATGTCGTCGATATCTTCCTGATAATTTACTGTCCATACTTTGCTGATATTGAGACTCCAGTTCTTCATTAATTTTCTTGTCTTCTTCCCCTGCATGTCCAGTGTACTTTGGTTATGTTTCAGTCAAATTAATAAAAACATTTGATTACACAAAAAAACCTATAATACAGATGCTATTATATTCAGGGCTGATTTCTCTGTGACTTATTTTACAATGAATTTTGTAGATAAGTTTTTATACCACATGTGCTTAATAACAGCCAATAAAATCATTGAAGGATGTATTTATGATTACTTCTTTAGTAATTAACCCTCTGAATTAAAAACGTGTTTATAATTTCCTATGTGATAATTCAAACCAGACACAAAAGAGTCTCGGAAAGAACTGACTGAAGTTAAGATATCATAAATATTAATTATTAAGCACTTTGATTATTAAATGTTTTAGTTTATTTACAGTATAATAAATGTTCTGAAAGTCTTCTCCTAGTCACCAAAACAAAACAACCAAAAACTCTCCAACAAACAGAAGTATCTGTTTAGAGAACGGCTAAAATGATCTTGTAATGGTTCTCCTGATGCCTTTCTTTGCATGTCAGTTTACTGAAGTAACATAAAAACATGAAAAAAATTTTTAAGTTTATGTAACACTTGATATATATACATACGAAAGTACATCAAAAAGTTCATGGAAAGTTTAGTATAATCTTTAAATTCTATTTTTCCATGAACTTTTCACATACACTCATATATTCTGTTGTACGTAAATCATGAAGTAGAATCCTAAATACCTATGAATCTACCACTCAAGAACTGGAAAATTACCAATACCATTGGAGCTTCCTGTGTATGATATTTTAATTTGTAAATATAAATATAAGAGGAATTTTAGGTTTTAATCACAGATGGTGGTACTTTCCATTATTTTTATTCATAACATTCCCAATTTTAAAAGAGTAAATGTAGCAGTTAAAAATATTTTTTCATTCTGCAGAGCTCAGGGATACTTTCTGCCTTATGTAGCAATGCAAATCAATTTGAAATTAACACCAGAAAAATAAAAGATCTATTAATTTCTAAAATGTGCTACATATGGTGGCTGAGTATACAGTTAATTTAAATAATTAAAAATTTTGTTAGATTTAATCTAGGTCATTATGCTCTTATTATTAATAAGGTCCAAGATTAGGGTCAATTTTAAATAGGTGAAAATTTCACTTTTTAGCAGACTAAATTAAGATCCAAATTCATTTTCAGTTATTTAAAAATTTTCCCTAAAATTAAAAGTTTATTTCTTTATGCTCTGCAACTAGTTTATATTATTCAAAGATTTCAGAACAAAACATAGTGAATAAACTCAAAATATAATATGCCAACTATAACATTATATGCTAAATAATTTATACAAAGAAAATGATTCTATATTAGCAGACTAAATTAAGATCCAAATTCATTTTCAGTTATTTAAAAATTTTCCCTAAAATTAAGTTTATTTCTTTATGCTCTGCAACTAGTTTATATTATTCAAAGATTTCAGAACAAAACACAGTGAATAAACTCAAAATATAATATGCCAACTATAACATTATATGCTAAATAATTTATACAAAGAAAATGATTCTATACATAACAGAGGTGGCAAGATGAGGCATAAAACCTCACTACAATTAAACTATATGTTCTGAATCAGTAAAAATGAAGACAGGAAAAAGTTTCTTGGTTAGAATATCATATTAATACATACTCTTATCTTTTTAAAGTCTAAGTACATGATACTTGATACTTTACGTGATAACATGTTTACATATAATACATCGTTTCCAAGTCTAATATTTTAGTCAGTAACACAATTATATATACAAGTTAGAATATCCCAAAACATGTACAAATATTTCATATTCCAAATTTAGCACCTCTATTTTAATTATATTTTATTTTCTTACCTGTTCGGAAGTGAGATGTTGATTTGTGATCTCCTATAACAAGACGACCAGTATGTTCTTTCTATAAAAAGGTTGAAAACATATTAGAATTTGAAACCACTAATTTAATATAATTATTGAGTGTCTACTATGTGCTGGAAACTATTCCAGACTTCTGGGATACAGTGAAAAAAAAGGACTAAACTAAGATCCCTACCTTTATGGTGCTCACATTCTACCAAGGGTAGGGATGGGAGGGGAGACAGACAAATGTACTCAATAAGTAAATTATATACTATGTTAGAAAGTGGTAAGTGCCATTAAAACAAACAATATAGAACAGAGTAAAGGGGTAGAGAGTGTAAAGGTAGAGATCAGGTTGGAATTTTAAATGAGATGAGTAAACAACTAGAAAATTGAGTCAATCTAAACATTTTCTTTCCTAAAGACGAGATAAATGAGTGCTTTATTTATTTATTTTCTTAATTGTTTTTAAAATTTATCCTTATATGATGTAATTGATTTTCATGGCCCTTTACCAATTCTTCTGTTTACCCCCTCCCTCTCCTCAAATGAGTTGCTTTAAATTTCCCACCTCCCCTTTCTGATGTCTCTTGTCCAAGGCTACTTCAAAAAGTTCATGGAAAAAAAGAATTAAAAGACAATATGAATCTTCCATGAACTCTTCGAAGCACCTTTATCTCATGAGAGAAAGCAAATAAGAGTATTTAGCTAGATAAAAATGAAACAGACTTATAATGTACAAAATGATGTATCTTTACATCATGATCAATCAGCTAGTTCTCTACTACGTGACTACAACAAACTCCCAATCTCAATCTGTCAAAAAGAACAGAATTTAAAAAGAATTTAATCTAGAACCATAAACATGATATCTGACTCAAAGTTATCATTTGATCTGGCTACATAATTACTCCCAATTTATCTGTCTAATCTACTCTTTATGATTCACATTTAGTTTCACAAGGTAAAGAAATAAACTTCACTAAAATACAAAGATGATACTACTGAAAAGCTGCATTAATATTTATTGCCTCAGATGCCTTTAACACATAATCAAATCAATGATTCAACATGCTGCAAAACAGACATCCCATTAGCAAGATCTGAATAACGGCATCAAGTTATTCTAGGATGATATATTGTACTGATCTATTCATACTTTCCTCAGTGAGTTCTCTCTGTGACCAATAAATATTCACAGTAGCTGGCTAGGATTAGGAATATACTTTGTAGTCAAAAAATAGAATAAAGTGAAGGAGCCCATATAAAGATTAAAGCTACAATCTTAGCCTCAATTGCAAAGAATTTAATGTATGCTAACCAGCCTATTTACTGGTAGCCACATTTCATACATTTTATGTTAAGATGTTCTTCCTAAGTTCTCGAAGAGTTTTCATTCTACCGGGTTGAGTATGACCCCTAAACTATTACTTTATTTAATATAATCTTGACAAACCTTTTATTTGCAAGAACCAAGATAAACTTCAGATTATTTCCTATGACAAATTACAAATTATTGGGAAATCTGAATTAATGAGATATTATACAAATGCTTCCTTTATATTCATCTTAATGTTTTACATGACCTCTTCCTACCCCCAAACTCACTGTTGTAGTTGGGCTAACTACTCATCCTTTCAGAGTCAGATCAATTCTATTTCTGGAAAGCTTTCTTATACTACTAAACCAGAGTTAGCTACCCTTCTCTGTGATTCCACAGCACTACATGTATGGCTTTCTCATAGCAATTATAATTCTCTATTGTTATATCTGGTTTCCTCCACTACATGATACTTCCAAACATGTATTATTGATCTATGTAACCCCCAGGACCTAGTACGGGGCCTGACATGTAGTAGGTAGTCAATAATTGTTGGTCAAATGCATGAATACATATTCCCATGGGTGTAACAAAAACAAAGGGCAGAATTTCATGTTAAGGTGCTTGAAAGAGAAAAAAAGTTATCCAAAATCTTTCAAATTTAGTTTGTATGAAGACTACTGGGACGATGTTATTAAAATAAATTTACTTGCTTACAAAAAATGTTTCTAGAGACTACTGTATTTGTAAGTAAAAATGAATTGCTAGGAAAAAGAAAGGTTTTCTCAATAGGTGATGTGTTCATGGCATCTGTATTTTATACATTCTATCGTGTTAATCAAACTGAGAGGAATTTCAAAATATATTGAACATTTTAAAAATTAGTTTCTTGATAAAGGACACTCCTTTGACTTCTATGTAAAGGGCTGGAGGAAACTATAAAATACAACAGAATTTTTTACTTTGAACAGAGGGTCTTACAAGTTAACACAGAAATACCTTCTATCAACTCTTTGGGCTAATAGATGGCAAATCACTTCTATGTAAAGGGCTGGAGGAAACTATAAAATACAACAGAATTTTTTACTTTGAACAGAAGGTCTTACAAGTTAACACAGAAATACCTTCTATCAACTCTTTGGGCTAATAGATGGCAAATTATAAACTTTCACATCTCCTTTCTCCCACAGTCACCTGGAACCAAACTGTTTTCTATACAGTCTCCAAAGCTTTCTGCCAGAGGCACTGAGAATTCTAGAAGTGGTTCAGAAATAGTATAAATTTCAATTGCTTGGTTAGGCCAGGTGTATTTCCCAAAGTCAAAAGTAATCATGCAGAGCAGAAAAACGGGATCCAAACGTATTCAGTCTTTCTTATTTAACATACACAAAAAATGGTATTATTTTCACAGAAAAGATAAAAATGCATACTGTCTGACACTTACCTTTCCTGCACCCATAAGTCTCAAGAACTTTTGTTTTCTCTCTTCATTACCCAAATCTGCTGCCTCCCAATTGCTGGATCCAAGCTGGAAAAGACATTAGTTCATTAATTTTTTGCATAAAAATAAGTATTAAAAATTTAAAGTCTATCTGCAACTCCCAAGTCTTCATTACCCAAATCTGCTGCCTCCCAATTGCTGGATCCAAGCTGGAAAAGACATTAGTTGATTAATTTTTTGCATAAAAATAAGTATTAAAAATTTAAAGTCTATCTGCAACTCCCAAGTTTTTTTTTTGTCAGTTTTAACTATCATCAGGTTTATTGTTCTTGCTTAGGAAGTTAAGCATATGTATCACATTCAGATTCAAATATACTCTTTTTCTATTACCTCAGGGCAGAATTCTTTAGTCTTTTGCAGATACAGCTCAGAGTCTCAAAAGACTGCATGTATCAAAATCACCTAGAAGGCTTGTTAAAACTTTATTGGACTATACCCTCAGAGTTTCAGATTCAGTGAGTCTGATATGGGGCTCAAGGGTTTTAGTTTCTAACAAATTCCTAAGCAATGTTGATGCTGTTGATATGGGTCCACACTTTGAGAACCACTACTCTAGAATCTTGCAGAAACCTACAGCACCTAATACTTTGAACCCAGAATGTTGCCAGTTAGTTGAAGTTAAAAAAAAGTTCTGCCTTAAGGGTTCAGATCTCATTGCTCTGCTGCAAAAAAAAAAAAAAATATATATATATATATATAAAATTAAGAAGTCCTGCCTTTAGTGATATTCTAAGGGACAGTATATTACTACGATCCACTAAACTGAATTTTTATCTTTCAGTTTCTTTTTTGAGCAGTTGTAATTATTTGTTAGGATTGAGATACCATGTCTTTTATTATTTCTTGAAGGTCTTCCAAAGAACAAAAAGAAAATTTTACTTATTTTTTAAAAGAATAGACTAAAACTCATTTTAACTTGCAATTATCAAATAGGTCTATTGAACCCTTTTACAAATTTAAGAAATATTATGGAATCCTAGTGATCATATTTCCCCCCTACATCTTGAAACAAATGTAAGAATTATTATAATTCATTAATTATTCCCAACTATGCTAAAAATGTCTAAAATAATAAGAAAACAGAAGAATGGTAGAAGAGTTTTCTCATTGTATTGCCCAAAGTACTGTACTGTCATCTTTCAAGAAGACATCATGCCTCTGTTGTCTGCTTTTAGCTTTCACTGAACACAGATGAGAATTAAGATTTTTCATTTTCCACCCTTACTGGCAAAGAGAAGAAAACTGACAAAGGTATTTCACAATTATTAGACGAATAAGAAGGTAAATGCAATATGACCAGTATTATATTCTGGACTAATGATGATGGTGAAATTAACTACCTGCATGTGCAAAAACCTCAGAATCTGAGTCTTGGATGATGAAATACTAGATGACTTTTCTTCAACCCAAGAATCTATGAGACAAAAAAAACCCCAAAAGACAAAAAAGTATGGTACTTTCACCCGGAGAGTCATTCGACAGGAAGGACTTCATCTTGAAATATTTTGGATAAGAGCCAGGATCATCCCATTTTTCTAAAAGAAAGTTTATTTAATCTTTCATGATGTTTGTATACCAACATTTACCTGGTTTAGATTGTAAATGGACAAAAGCTGAAGGCAGTTGTGTATACAAAGGTCACTGGAAGTAAAAAGATGATACAGACATTGGACTAATCATTCTAATTGAGTTTATAATCTACAAATGAAAATGTTTTATAATTATGGAGCAAAGATGGCAAACGCCTCTTCAACACAACCATAAGCAATCAAAGGTTTCAAAAAATTCTTTAAGTACTATATTTTGATGATACAATGCGAGAACTAGAAATAATGATAAAGCTAAAACGTATTAGAAACATATATGAAATCTGAAATTATATGTTCCAGGTTCACATATGACAGCTAATATGCAATTTAGAGGATGCTAACCATTTGGTTATACACACCATCAAAATCAGGAAAATGCAGAACAGAAATTTGGGCCTGCTGTTGTTATAAAAATTCCTAATAAAGTTGTTTTTCACTAACTCTTTATTCTTAACTCTGAAAATTATTCATAAAAGGCTAAAAGAATATAAAAAACAATGATAACTATTTCTCGTGCACATGAGTTAAAGCATTTGTACCACACTGGACCCACTTGTAGTTCTGCTCAATTCTTTTTAGTAGAGAGGCTTGTACACTCTCATAATTTTGGCTACCTAAGTTACAAACCTCTACTTCTTTCTATGTGACTGCTCATATCTTTTTATAAGCCATTTCATTCTTTATTTCTGGCCCAGTATGATTTTTAAAAAAGTATTAATGAAGATTCAGTTCTGATTCTCACTAAATCACCTGCTCTGTAAGCCTGGACCTGACAATTAGCTTCGTTTTAATTCCTTTTCTACAAAGAAAGGCTTTTTAAAAAGACTGTCTTAAGAATAATACCTAGGAACTGCAAAATGCTTTACAACCTATAAATCACTTTTCACTTACATCCTCTAAAGAGCTCCTTACAACAGTCCATTTAATTAAGTACACTGAGGCATAGAGGGGCTAAGTTGACTTGTTTCAATCCTCTGGCCATAAGTCTTCTGCTCTTTTCACATCATACTATATATGATCAAATTACATAGAATACTGAAAGTCAGTCTTTGAATTACAGTTATAAAAACATACAAAATTAAGTTAAAAACAATTGTCTAAAAACCAACTTTCCTGATTCTCTATTTCTACTAAAATAGTAAACATCTTCACAATGTTTTTACATAAATAACCCTATCGTTTACAACTTCTAATCCTAATTTTTTTAAACATCTTCACAATGTTTTTACATAAATAACCCTATCGTTTACAACTTCTAATCCTAATTTTTTTAAAAAAAACATGAAGCCCTTCCCGTTTTTCCTTTTAAGGACTTTAGAGTACAACAGCAATCACCTTGCCCAAGTGCTGCATTCTGAAAATGCAATACGTGGGTGACTGATACATTCTTAGAGGTTCCCCAAGTAACTAAAATTAACCTCCCCCTCCCTGTAAGATAGCTTTCATTTTTCCACTCCAATCAAACCAATGAAAACAAGTTGTCTGCATCCTTACTACCCTTTACTATACAACTGCAATCAATTTACTTCCTCAATACATATCTTAGTAGTGACTTGTAATGAGAATTTACTTTTATATTGTCAGCATTCTCGCAGGGATGTATTCTGTAATTTAACTTCCATTTTTGATATTTTTTAGAATATTTTATTACCCAGTTTAACATGTGAGCACAATGAAGAAAAATTATCTTTTACACACAGTGGACGTTCATTAGAAACTGTTGACCAACTATGTATTATAGTCAGTTGATTTTTTATGACAATTTAGAGGTATATTTCAAAAATATATGATTTTTAAAATATTAAAAACTTAAAGTTAACTCCAAATTACTAGTAAAAATAATGAAAACTCATACGAAAGAAATGAACTTTTAAAAAAATCAGTATCAAGAGACGTTACTGTATTGCACTATAACATTAGCAACATAATGATTCTGGGGCAGTATGTGAAGGTCCTAGGTCCTAATCTTGAATTGCAACTGTAACAATCTCCTCCAAAGACAAAGCTTATAGGCTCAGGAACCGTCCTAAAGGTCATCTAGTTTCAACTGATCTCAACAGAAGCTGTAGATACTTAATTACTTAATCCCTTTAACTTTCTGTTAAATTACATTATACCACCTGGAGTCTTCTGTCAAGCTGAAAGATTGTCTAGCAAAACAGGTGTCTGGCATCATAGCAATCAAGTTACAGTTAAATACCAGGAAGAAAACGATGTCATAACTTTTTAAATGGCAGCCAGGTTACTCAAAAACTTAAATAAATTCCTGACAAATACCAATTAACATATTGACAAGAAAAATCAAAAAGCCAGTAGACGGGAGAATATAAAACATGAATAAATCTCACTAGATAACCAATCAACTTCTAATCTTTCTGCAGGGCTAAAATCAATTTCCTTTAAGACCCATACTATTCTGACCTTCCACACAAAGAGGGATCTTATTTGCTACAAAGTAGTATTTATCCAGTGAGCCTTTGGTAGGTTACAAAGATATTATGAAAAGCACTGAAATGCACTATAGAAAATTTTTTAAAAACTGTATACATTCAGAAATTGACAGTGCTTTAAATAACTGAAAACCAGATGTTCCTTCATCATCTTTAATGACCTCTCCACGCCCCTTTCCCAATAATTTCTCCATCAACGTTCTCGAGGTATTTATTCATTGTATGAAGGACCCAGTTTTACGTTTACTGGTTTCCTGCAGATTCCATGACACTGCGCTAGGAGTTAGGACAAATACGTATACAAAAAGGCCCAACATAAGCTACAATACTTATTCATCTTTGAATTCCCAATACCTGGCATAGCAGTAAATATTTAATGGGTTATTTTAAGGGATGAATGATTTGCTATTTAAAATAAGCTGGGGGGGGGGGAAGGGGTTGGGTTTGAGGGGAAGGCGAACGAGGTATCTGACATCAAAATGGGCTTCTAGGTCTCGCTGTCTTAGACTTCACTACCGTACGCCAGTTCTAAATTACATCCCTGGTACAATTTTTCGGCTCAATACTATTCTCGGTCTACTCCTACTAGTACAGTTAGCGTTAATTATTACCAGTACACTGCAAAAATAATCCAGGCCGGAAAATTTGTCCAAATATGCACGAATATTTCAACACTGTCATAGGAACATTTTAAACGTAAAACAGTGAGTGTCTTGCCGTCTCTATCATGAATAGAAAGGCCCGAGAAAGCAGCTTCATCAGCTTCCCCAAAACGCAAATATGAGGGTCTCTTAACTAAGGTCTTTAACTTCTCGACCCTCTTAAGGATTTCCTTCCTCAATTCCCCTTCCTACGCAAGTCTCCGGCTCCTGGCCTTTCGACCTTAATGAAGAAACCTTTCAAACCTTTCGACCTTAATTAAGAAAGGGAGACATTTCCCAGTCATTCTGGTTCCTCGTCCTCAGCCCTCCCCCTTCGGGCTACCTCAGGCGCTTTCTATTCCTTCAGCCACCCTTCTCGGCCTACTTCAGCCTTTAGTAGGCCTCAACCCTCATCCACTCCGCCATTGTTATTTACATCGTCGTCTGGGGAAGCTGAACGCTTCACCCCGTGCGGGTGAGACTCCCTGGCAGCACTCATCGTTGCGGGGATCCCGACGGGGAAATGCCGAACCCACTCGCTGTCCTCCTCAGCCGGGACACCAGCAGCCCGCAATCCGCCACCGGCCCAAGCAGCGCCACTCCAGAACGCAAGAGTCCCTGCGGACCTTCGCCACAGTCGTCACCGAGGCTGCCGCTCGCCACCCCAGAGCCCTCTGGGAGTTGTAGTTTTCTGACTCACTCCATACTGACCAAAATAAGAGATGGACGGGTGACTAAAACTACAATTCCCAGGAAGTCAAGCGGCGCAACTCGCGCTGTGCGGCGGGAGTGCCCTCTGAGGCCCCACCTTCTTCGGGTGGTAGAGGGCGCTTTCCCGCGGATGAGTATGGCGGTGATAGGCGGTTGAGAGCTTCGTCTTTACAGGAAGAGGTTTTGAGTGGGTTTTTTCTTTCACTGTGAGAGGCTGCCTTGTTGGCAGTGCATCTGTTGTAGTTAAGCACCTAGGTTTAAATGTAATGTGTGATGCTTATTGAATCATTACGAGTACCCTCCGCCTAGGACCTTTTTAAAAAATGGCTTCTAGGGCCGGCCAGTGACTCACTTGGGAAAGTGTGGTTCTGACAACACCAAGCTCACGGTTCGGATCCCATACAGGGATGGCCGGTTAGCTCACTTGGGAGAGCGTGGTGCTGACAACACCAAGTCAAGGGTTAAGATCCCCTTACCAGTCATCTTTAAAAAAATAAAACATATAAAATGGCTTCTACCATTCCCACCCTAATGTTCGTTCTCTGTCGCGGGTGGTGGATTTCTAGGTGACAGGCGTTACTGCTTTCTAGAAAATTCTGAGGAATATCTTGCCATTTTCTCATACCCACATGAGTTCAGTATGGTGTAGAGTGTGGTTAATTGGCTATAACTGAAACTGGGTTTGTGAGGAAGTTCTGTAAGCTTTTCACACTGCTTTGTGTGAGGTGAGATTGATCCTACCGCTGGGGCCTTCAGCAAATGAAGTCCATCTCTGCCAGGAAATCTTGTATCTTTTTCTTTTTTTTTTTCATGAAATTTTTTTATTGAGATGAAATTCATGTAACATAGAATTAACTATTTTTAAATGTACAATTCAGTGGCATTTAGTACATTCATGAAACCCGAGTGGCAATTAGCAATCCTCTCCACTCCACCACACCTCCACACTCCTGCTCCCAGCTCCTGGTAATCACTAGTCTACCCAGAAAACCTTGTATCTGAAGATGTTCCGATACTGGAAACTAACTCCTGTAGTTCCAGCCCATACTAGGATCCGAACCCTTGACCTTGTTATCAGCACTGTGCTCCACCAACTGAGCTAATCAGCGAGCCCCTGGTGTCTGAAGTGTTAACCAGTCCTGAACCTAATATTCTGTCAATATCATTGACCTTACTTGTTCTAAAGCTTTCTGACCTTGAACAAAAATTTGATTTTTTTCTTTTTTTTTTTAATCAAAGATCAGTAAGTAGTATGATAGTAAAGATCTAGTGTAAGTTTTGGTACTGAGAGCAGTCTGTGAAACAGTGCTTAACTATTGGCTTCTAAACTCAGCAATTACTTTAGTTTGACTGCCTGTGCAGAAATATTATTACTTTCCTAGATTTCAGATGATTACTGAAACCTTTATAGAACTATGACCATTGGAAGACAGTTCCTTAATTTATGCATAGACCCAAGTTCTACTCCTTTATTTTGGAAGCAGAGGAATGGCATAATAATAAACAGGATAATATGAGAAAAAAAATTTTCAGAAAGGGCCATATAAGTGTAACCAAGCAAAGGGCACCATAATGTATTAGTTCTGTGGGAAGAATAAGCCATACATAAAGCAGAAGAGTAAACCCATGAGGAGAAAAAGCATGTTTTGGAAGTTGTTGCTTGCTCTTTGCTAGAATTAAAATATTTTGCCTAGTAATGCCATGATTCTACTAAGGTTCTATAAATATAGTTATAATGAAATTACATTTAAGTTCAAGAGTTTTGTAGGGTGTACTACAGTTCACTTCCAATGGGTTTGACAAACTATAATATATACAATTTAGAACTCTGTATTACCAATAAACAAATGGGTGGCTGAATAGGTACTTTAGACTGCTAAAAGAATTTTGAAATAAAAAAGGACTATCAATAAGGTTAGTAGACACTAAATAATTCTAACTTTACTAATTGTTGAAAGTCTAGAAAAGTTTAATGAGCTAGCAACATGTCTTTTATTTCTTCCCCAGAATTGTTGGCACCTGGATGGCCAAGTCTTCAAGTTACCATAAAACAAGATCACAAGCCAAAAAGTTACATCAGAAATAAAGACTGGATCATCTTATCTGATTTTACTCGGTTTCATATATAGGAGGCTATAGGTAAGGATGAAATTATACAGTGTAGTAGAAATGCATGTACGGCACAAAAACTCGGTAATGCTCTTCTTCCTTGTGTTATAAAAACAAAGAGAAGATACTCTGTCACAAGTGGAACTATGAAATATCTTCTTCAGGACAGGGACCATTCCATCTCCATTTTTTGTTTCTGTGTCTTCTAGCACAATGCCTGCCACAGAGTAGTTAATAAGTATTTCTAAATTAATATAGGAAGGGTGAAATTATATAGTACCAGGGTGGTATCTCATGTGAGGTCCAGAAACTCAACAATGTCCTTCTTTATTGGGTAGTAAAGACAAGAAGAAGCACTGTCACTAATAGAACTTTGAAATACTTACCTAATGCTTACCATGTAGTGGGCAGTACTAAATGTTTGTTGAATACATTCCCTTAACCAAAGGTAGTCATGACTGAGCATAGTTTACAAACCTGAAGAGTACATAAAAGCTCTAAAGAATATACTCTATACAAAAAACCTGCTGCTGTTTTACCTGAAACTAAAAAAAAAAAAAAAAAAAATTCCTAGAGCTATAATTATAGCTGTCACTTACTGAATATCCACCATGTACCATACACTTTGCTAGGTGCTTTTTATAATTGATCTCAAAGTTTCATGACAATTTGTAAGAAGTAGGTAATTTTATAGGTAATGAAGCTTAAGAAAAGTTAAATACTTGCCCTAAGTCATGGAGATAGTGAATGACAAAGCTGGGATTTAATCCCTAAGTCGGTCTAACTCCAAAAGCCTATGCACTTTCCACTGTGACAGTATTACTCAACATTTATATAAGGTGCTTAATATGTGTGAAGAAGTGTGCTAAATCTGAGGAAAACCAGAATAAATAATGTATAATCCCTCACCTCCAGGTTACAGCTTGCAGGTGGGGGGTGGGGAGGAATGAGTAAATGGCATCAGTAAATTACAAATAAAATGCTATGGGAGCAGTTCATTTTAGCTGAGGGAAATGGGGATATTATCTCCCCAAAGTTTTTGAGCTAGGCCTTGAAAAACAATGGGGGCAGAGTGGGACCTGTATGGTTGTGCGCTGAATAAAGATGTTTAGGTCAAGGATGGACTGCAAATACGACGGTGGTTGGAGTAATAGGGTATATATCATATAGCCTAGGTGCGCAGTAGGCTATATCATCTAGGTTTGTGTAAGTACGCTTTATGATGTTCACACAATGATGGTATCACCTAATGATGCATTTCTCAAAATGTATCCCCAATAAGCAACATATGACTGTATTCAGTAATGGTTAGAGTTCAGTGTGCTGAAACCTGATAAGTGTAAAAGTATTGTATTCTGAGACAAACCCTGTAGGCTAATCACAGCCAGGCTGTGAAAAGCCTTGAGTTTAACTCTGAACTACACATGTTCAGGTTAAAATCATCTCTTTCATAGATTTATATGACCTTTTTCTATCCTCTGATATTTCCCCAGTTAAACCCATTTTACGCATCATGGCCAGATTCATCTTCCAAAAATGGAATGAAGAGACTCTCCTGCTTGAGAACTTCCTAGATCTTCCCATTTTATACAGGATTAGGTTGATACAATTAAGCCTATAATTGAAGGTCTGTGTTTTGACCTCAATCATCTATTCCAGTGTTATTTTCTATTATTACATTTTACTTGTCTTGGTTAGTCTGCCACCACTAGTTACAACAAAAATATATGTGCTGTAATAGAGGTATGAATAAAGTACAAGTCTTGCTATTTTATTTATTTATTTTTTATTTATTGTTAAACACGCAAAGATTAACATCCTTATTGCAAAAAGAACTCTTAAAAATGAATTAGAAAAATCTAAGCAGAAATTTGATGAAGGACATGAGCAGATAAGTCACACACCCCAAAGAAACACACATGGTTAATAAGTACATTGTAGGATATGGTTGCGGGCAGGTGTGGGGCTTGCCTTCCTCCTGCATCAGGATCCCAGGTGTCAGCTGCATCCATTGCTGGCATGGATGTGTGGCAGCAGGGGTGGGGCTGAGGCCCATGGCCCTTGTCTCTCAGGACCCCCGGGTGGCTGTTCTATTTTAGACTCTCAGTTTCTTTTGGGTAGGATCTAAGCTTAGCACTATGACTTACATAAAAATCATCACATAATAAATTTTTGTATTAATTTATGAATGGGTGAGATCAGAGAGGAGTAGGTTTATGTGGTATGATAATGAGTTTGATTTTAGACATGTTAAATTTAATGTATTAGTGAGAAACCAAGTGAAGCAGTTAGAAATATGGGCTTCAAAGTTAAGAGAGAGCCATAACTTTTGAAATCACCCATCAAGAGATAATGGATCAAACTACAGGAGTAACTGAGTTAACTCAGTGAGTATGTAGAAAAGAGGTTCGGGGGGGGGGGGACAAAACCATACGGGTAGAATGAGGAAGAAGAGCCTGAGATTAGAAGGTGGATGTAGAACTAGAACAGGAAAGTTTAGTTTTATTGAAACCAAGGGAAAAGATTTGAAGAATGCATTGTTCAACTGTGGCAGATTAAGAGATAAAACCCATCTAGAAGCTTATTTTAAAGGTGTAATATAAATGTAGCTGTGGGGTCTAACACTGAATCCTGAAGACAAGGTATAAATAAATAAATGTTTGTGGTTGATAATGAGATGAATTCCCATCTCATCCCAGAGTGCTACTGTTATTTAAAATGTGGCAAAATAAATACTGGCTTGATTATTTTACACATACCTAGTGTATTAGTCTGTTTCTGCTGCTTATAATGCAAACACCTGAAACTGGGTGAT